GAAAATAGCTGCAAATCATGTGTCTGTTAAGGGTCTAATATCTAGAATACATAAAGAACTCTTACAATTCAACAATGAAAAGATAAATAACCCATTTTTTTAATGAACAAAGATTTTGAATAGGCATTTCTCCTAAAAGGACATATAAAGAATCAATAAACACATGAAAATATGTGCTATATCATCAGTCATTAAGGAAATGTAAATAAAAATCACAATGATATACTACCTCACACCCACTAGGATGGCTTTTATTTTTTAAAAAACAAAGAAAAATAAGCGCTGGTGAGGACATGGAAAAATTGAAACCCTCATACATCACTAGTAAGACTAGTAAGTGGTTCAGCTGCTTTAGGAAACAATATGGCAGTACCTCAAAAAGTTAAATATAGCATTACCATATGACCCAGTAATTCATTCCTAGGTATATACACAGAGAATTGAAAACATATGTTCACACAAAAACTTGTACATGAATGTTCATAGCAGCTAACAGGTGGCAATAACCCAAATGTCCATCAACAGAGAAATAAACAAAATGTGATATATCCATACACTAGAATACTATTCAGCAATAAAATGAAGTACTGACACATGCTACAAAATGGATGGACCTTAAAAACATGCTAAGTGAAAAAAGCCAGACACAAAAGACCACATGTTTCCATTTCCATGCATTATTGCTGCAAATCCATAGAGACACAAGGTAGATCCGTGTTTACCAGAGGATGGGTGAGAGGGGAAAGGAGAGTGACTACTACTAATGAGAATCTTCTGGAGTTAAACAGTGGTGATGGTTGCATGGCTCTATGAATATACTAAAAACCACAGAATCGTACACTTCGAAATGATACATTTTATGGTATGTGAATTATATCTCGATTTTTAAAAATGCATTGTTAGGACCACATCTTATTTATTTAATTCCACTTTTTAACTTCCCTAATTAGTCTTCCAAAATAGCCTAAAGCTTATCAACAAAACCACAACGTGAACAAAAAAAAGTGCTTAACCCCACTTGTGTGGTTTTTGACAGAATAGGATGTGGGTCATTAATCTGAAAGAAATAAAGGCAGAAAAGATTTAGAACAGGTAATGAAAAAGAAGGTATCCATCTATCCCTTAGAAAATTTTTGTGGGCACCAGAAAACTACACCTTTTTATTAGTTGATAAAAATCCTCATCATTAAGTTAAATGTCATAATTCCTCAACTCTGAATTTAGAAATAGCAACTTTTCAATAATTTGACCTGATAATGATCCCCATACAGGTATGCCCTTCTCAAGAGACCTCATCCTTATAATACATGAAAAATCAAATCTAAAAAAACATGTACTTTAGGGGACGATAACACAACAGAAGGATGACTCACAGGTCAAAAAGAATACCTAATTGAGTTCCTACGCACACCCATATTGTGTATATGTAATATGATGCTTACAAACCTTTTCTTTTTTTCACACAAATGTTTGGAAACCTATTTATTACAAAAAGTGGGATGCGCCTAATTACTTCTTGCATGCGACAGTGTTCCCATCTCTGCTTTGCACTACAGCACAGAAAAATCATCAATTTAAAAATGTATTCAAGAAAAAGACACAAACATATATATACTCAATTGTTATCTGAGCTTTTTAAACTGTGTTGACTGGAAGAAGTAATAAAAGGTGATTTCCCTTAAATTATTATAAGCCAGATATTAAGAAGGGGACCATGACCCACTATTCTAATTTTACAACTATAATAATTGTATGGTTTGTATTATTTATCTTTTTAAAAACCTTCCAAATTGTAAGAATTACTGAATAAAAACATAGATTCAAAGAAGTTAGGCAGTTTATCTCAAAAGCAAAACGTCTAAACTTTCCATTTCTGTCCTATGTACAAAATTAAACAGCTTTCACATGGGCTGGAGAGCTAAGCCTTAGATCAATTTCATGATTTTGCATTTTACTTCCAAGTGTTTCATATGAAAGTGTGGGTATAACTAAAAAAAATAAGGCAAAACAATATATGTATATCTATAGCGAATACACACACACACACATACACACACACACACACACACACGCACGCACGCACACTTCTCTTGTGTCAGAGTTCAGGATTTATAACTCAAATACTGCTCTCCACTAAGGAAGTGAATTCCCCTGCCCTCTGTATTGTAGAAAGGAAAGCATAGAATTCCAACAAACTTGCAAGATCAAGCTTGTAACATACCATTAAAAAGTAATATGCCATTATGCTAAGTGAAATACCGGTAAGTCAGACGGAGAAAGACAAGTACCATATGATCTCACTTATATGTGGAGTCTAAAGAATAGGATAAATGAGCAAACTAATCAAAAACAGTCTCAGAGATATAGAGAAAAAACTGAGGGTTGCTAGATGGGAGGGGGGTGAGGATGCGGGAGAAGGTGAGGGGATTAGACAGCACAAATTCGTAACTACAAGGTTGCCACGGGGATACAAAAGACCGTTTGGGGAATATAATCAATAATGGAAAGATTTTTGTAGGGTGTCAGATGGGCACTTATCTTATTGGGGACCACTTCATGGATGGCGTAGGTGCCTAACCACTGAGTGTACACCTGAAGCTGAAGCTGAATAATAATGAATGTCAACTATAAATTAATATATATAAAGTCACAGGATGTGGAGTACAGCATAGGGAATAGAGTCAATGGGATTGTAACAGCTATATATGATATCAAAGGGGTAGTAGATTGGGGGAGGGGGTTATCACTTTGTGAGGGGTGTAAATGTTTAACTATTACATTGTTTTGTACATCTGAAACTAATAAAAAAAGTAATAGGCAAGTTGAACAAATCATTGTATATTAATACAGCAAAAACACCTATCATTACTTATGCTTCCTTTCTTTAAAAAACAAGACAAAATAGTTTATAATACATCCTATAAATGGCCTCTACTCTGTCATAGGCAGAGCTATAGAATTATTTTAAAACAACTGAAAGAACTGAAATCTATGGGGGGGGGGAATTTACCTAATACAAAATTATGGGAAATTTTAGTTTTAATACAAAGTTACATAAATAAAGCAAGAGCATACTTCAGGTATAAATAGCATAGCCGTACTTAAGTCCTAGTAGGCGTAATCCAAATAATATTTATTCCCTCTGTCTTTCATCTGCTAAATGTCATGTATACTTTCACTATACCTGATATAGTGTTGATATTTTTAAATATAAATCAAAGGATTCTCATCAAAGCTACTTAAAATTAACTTGTTTAAGTTACAACATAAATGCAGATTATCAAGTACAATACCCTAAACAAATAATAAACTGGCTTGGGCTCACCCTAACAGTCAAAAGGTGAAGTGTTTATTGGGAATGTCTGGTAGAATTGGAAAAAATCTGAAAATTTAGGCATACGTGGAGAATTGCTAGAGGAAGAAAAGTTAATCATAGAACTGGGCAGTGTAATCATGCTTGCAGATGACAGACACTTCACAAGCCTTTAGAAGGCTCCACCGCATGGGCTAGTAAATCATTAATTTACTGATATGCCCAGTCGTCTAAGTGCAGATGGATCGGGAAAGGCAGGAAGCAAAACACCATATGAAAGCACGCTGAACAAACAGAGAAGGGTATGCAACCTTCCCTGACCAAAATGGAGCTTCTCCAGTACATTCCGTTAAAGCTTAAACCCATGTTACTTCCTATTCAGCTATGACATTTCTCAACCTGTTCCTTCTAAATACTGCGATGACTATGAACTGCACTTATCTGTATGTATGTGAATGGGTGCACAGTTGTGGGGTTTCGCAATTCAAAAATTATTGAAAATCTGAGTTTTTTGTACGATCTTCCCAAGCCCTCCTTCCTGACACCTATGGTGTCTAAAAGCGACATTTGCTTTTTATTTGACTTATTAAAAGGGGCCCCAAAGAAAATATTTTTAAAAGACATCATTCATGCCTTCTGATGGTAGAAAATAAAAAAGGTACGTCCAAAGAGTACTGAGTCAGAAGTCTAAAAACCAGGTTTCTGGGGCCTGATCTGACATGAGGATGCCAACTCGCCCAATATGCCTGAGACTAACGGGTTTCCCAGGATGGGGGAACTTTAGTGCTAAAACCAAGAAAGTCTCAGGCTAATCGGGACAAGCTGGTCTCCCTATGGGTGACGATGGCTAAATCACAACCCACTGGGGCCCCCAGTTCCCTGGCTGCTAACATCTGGATGGGATAAAGGACATAGGAAGGGAACAAGGTCTCCAGGGCCCTTTAGTTCTAATTTCTGATGACCCTGTGAAATATACACTATATTTGATTACATTATATGTTAGATAACATAAATAAATGTACACTGAGGTAGGGGCAGGGAGCTCTGGAAACATTTTGTGAAGCTATGCATTAAGTTTGGAGTTACAGAAGCTTAACTGTATGTAACACAAAGCTAGGAATTTTCAGTTTTGTATTTCTATAGCAAAGAGTTAAACAAGCTGCTTCTAGGAAATATCAAGCCAACAAAGAAAATCCTTCCAACACCAACATCCAACTTAACCCCATCTCCTCTCACTCCCAGATTGCAGGAGACCAAGGGAAGACATCTGGACAAATGTTTAAAAACAGGAAATACTACTTTGACTTACTGACAGCCACTGTGAAGGAATAGATTTCTACATTTCTAAGAAGGTAGGAAATTACAAAGGTGTGGTTACAAATAACTGCAAAACCCAAGAGCAAAGCAAACACAATTGTTTCAACGAGCAAGCCAGAATAACAACAGTCATAAAGGAGAAAGACAAGTAAGGCCTTGAGTTCACTTGAAAGTACAGTATTTCCCTATGTATAGGATGCTCCCATGTATAAGACGCACCTTAATTTTGGGGCCCAAAATTTGAACAAAATGTATTACATAAATTTATTGAACTCAAGTTTTATTCATCATAAAATTCATGCAATTCCTCATCACTTGCAGGAAATGCAAGTCAAAAAATTTACAACCACTGTATACGATGCACCCAGTTTTTAGACCCCAAAATTTTTGAAAAAGGGTGCATTTTATACATGGGGAAATACAGTATCTTCACTTTCAAATGTATTCTCTAATTTGCATCTTTAATCCTGGAAAAATCCCATGTGAAAGGATACAAAACCAGTTCTACACAAGATCAAGTCACAATCTCAGGTGCAGTAAAATCAGAACAAAACATTCGGACTTTCTCTTTCCTCACGGGGCATTCTAATTAGGATAATATCTGACTCACGGCTACTAATAATAGGCTTCTAATGAAAGCATTTGTGCCATGAAGATAGAGCTATGAAAGATGTCTAAAAGCACAACTAAGAAAGAAGTCGTACTAAATGATCTTTAAAAGGCCTCTGTTCTAAAAAACTACAATATTCGTGATTTTTTTTTCACTCATGACTGAACCACTCTGTCATGTCTCGTCACCACTCTTAATAAATGGGGAGCTGAACTGGCATTAGAACTTATCCAACATGCTCCTTTATGAGAAGTCGGGCATCACCAGCAAGAGATTTCTTGCTTGTTACTGAAGGACAGCCTCAACGTCTGTGTGTGTATTGACACGTATGGCTATACATGTACACATACAGGAGTTTGCTTCTCCTTGCCTCTTCACAGAAGTTTCTCCCCCCAAATCGGTCAATAGTTTGTGCCCAAGTCTGTCATAGATATTGTGGTATGTATAAGAAAGAAAGTCCCAGCCCTCAAAATAGTTATAATTTATTGGGGAGATAAGACATACTCCCATGAAGAGTTCCCAGTCCCAGCAAAATGAATGGCTTTGATATTTTAATTAGTAATACGAGGATGCTATCATCTGCATATTATTTGCATGGATCACAAAGCCTTAATCCAAATAGGTAAGAAAAAATAAATCCATGCCACTTATTTCAAGTATAGTAAAATACAATAAACATACAATGAATAACAGGGTTTATTTTGAGTTTGTAATAAGCAGCATACCAGTGTGCAGTTGTAGGGAAGACAGGGTGAGATTCTTAATGGCCAAAATGTCACATAAACTCAGGAAAGGGAAGTAAGGAAAAGGAACGGGTTTGCTACCATTACTGTTACCTCAGCAATGGCGAAGAAGTGTGGCTTCTCAAAGCTTTTCTCAAAATCCAGAGGTTTGTTAAGAATCAGCTGCTGGGCTTGGTTTCTAGAGATCTAGTTTTTAGCCCCAACTCCACAATCGTGCCCTCTCTTGCCCTAGTTTTGTACCTGGACTAGATGAGGTTGGAACTAGATGATGGCTAATATTCCTTTAATGAACATTTCTGGTAACCCTTTATTGATAAGTATATCAAGGTCCCATCCCCTCTTCGCCCCTCTCCCCACACTAAATTACAGCGTACAACATTAAATTATTCATGAATCTATGACTTTAATTTTTTGTGTCTATACACTGACTTCTTTATGGCAACTGGTTAACAAAGCAAAAATCTTAAATCATGTTGCTAAAATTTAGCACTAAACAGTTATCAGCTTTACATTATCTAGTCCTAATAATCTAACAAGATTAATGTGGCATATTATTCAATATTGTTGCAAGAAGTTTTGGCGTAGCCATAATTCACGATGGTGAAGATCAGATCAAATAATTATGTATTCATTACTTTTACCAGGCTTAAAACTGGCTTAGCTACACAGCAACCAAGAGTAAGGAAATATTTCATTTCTTTTTTTATTATAATCCAGTGACAACATCTAAGTATGACTTTGGTATAAAAAGACTACATAAATATCCTTTCATCTGGTAAGACTTAAACCCACGTTGTTTGGGCAGGGGTGGGGGAGAGAAGAAGATAAATATGGGTTGTAATACCAAACTACTTCTATTATCATTTTTATGTAGAAATCTTGTTTGGACATCTGAACGTTAGGACAATTATCACCTAGTAACAGCAATGATTTCAAATAAAATGAACTCCAATAAAATGCTAAACAATGCACACTCTCTTCATTCTAAAATGCTTTTTTGAGTCATTTCAATAAAGAGATAAAAGAAATCCAAAATGAAAAAGGGAGGCCATACTCAAGCTTCCATGAAGCTGTATGATAAGTGGAATAATAGGGTAAAAAAATAAATCAGGGAATTGAGAAATACGCTGGAAAACTTCTCCAAATACTATTCTTGCTTGTATCTAGCTCTATTATACAGTTTAAATTCAGCCAAATTTTTTAAGTATTTGTTCAACAGTTCTTGCGTGTGACATATGTTTCCAGGATACTTCTGACATTGATATGAGAGATTATAAAACATTTAGAAATGAAAATGTTGCTCTCCAACAAAAAACAACACTAACTTCCAAGCTTCTTTGGAATTCACAAGATGGGAAAACATTTGGAAAATACAGCTTTCCATTTTAAAATGTTCAAATAATATACTTTAAAACGAAATGTGTAATTGTTCAAGGCAACAAGAAACAAGTCTAAATAAAATAAGATCCTAAAACTTACTCTAGGAGTCATTAATTTTCCTTTGCAGTCTCACTCCTATTTACTCCATAATAAGTAAATTGTTTTATCCCTTCAGCTGGGAAGGATAATTTTTACCCTACCAAAATAATGACTGTACCACTGCAGTGCTCACCGCACAAGAAATACATGAATATGAAGTAGCATCAACTCTTTCTCTTGAGCAAAGTATATGCAAGACATGATTTGCAGTGCATTAATTTAGGAACTCCGCAGAGAGGCTCCTACTGTATCTAGCTGATCTAAACTTGAGCTCATGATAACACTGCACAAAGCTATGGTAAATAAAGGTGATCGGTAATGCCAGTAGAACAATTCCACTGACAACACAAACTCCTCCAAGAATTCTTCCAGGCATTGTGATAGGATACATATCTCCATAGCCAACTGTAGTCATAGAGATAATCACCCACCAGCAGGCAGCAGGGATGCTGGCGAAGTCCTTGTTGGATGTTTCCAGGTCCAACCCATGTTCAAGAAGCTGAGAAAGTGCACTAAAGATTGCCATGGCAACACAAATGAAGACAAGTAACATAACCATCTCTCGGTAACATCGTTTGAGAGTCAAACCAAGTGTCTGAAGACCAATGAAGTGACGAGCAAGCTTAATCACCCAAAAAATCCTCATCATTCTAAGCACCCTCAAGGTGACTCCAGCCCTCTGGAGTTGAGAGTTCTCGCCTGTAAATACTGTCATTAACACCGAGATGTAATACGGCGTGATTGCCAATAAATCAATGATGTTCAGGGGTCTCTTGACAAACTCACACTTGTTTTTGGAGATGATGAACCTCACGATGCACTCTGCAGTGAACCAACCTATGCAGATAGCTTCAATTATCCTGTCAAGAGAACAAAAGAAGAATTGATCATTTTATTTTTAAGTGTTTTAATAGCTCTTAGAGTTCTTCAGATAGTACTACACTGACATATTAATTCAGTTACTTATTCCAGAAAACATAAAGAACGGACAGCAATACCAACACCACCAGGACGCAATGGAACAACAAATATTACAGTTCAAATGAAAATTGAACTTGATAAAGTTCTTATTTACATAATGTAGTAATGCCATTAAAACTGTTTTTGCTTGTCACTAATCCTTTTTTAAAAATCTATTCTTTTATTTGGTGATTTGAAATTAACTTGCACTCGGGTAGCCAGAACATGAAATGTTACTTACTCTGTGAGGACAATGGGTCTCAGATATGATATCAGTTATGAGATAGGTCAGAGGACTTTGCCTCAAAGTGGACATACCCAAGTTTTCAATGATTTATTTCTTGGCAAGTAAGAGAGAACTCAAGATCACTTCCTAAAATGCTAGTTATTCTGCCTTCTTTTCCTATAGGTTTCATGTGGGATCCACTGCAGCTGAGCCAGCTTTAGGGGTTTTGCAGAAGTGCCCGTGTCTTCACCAGGAGAGTGCCACCATCCCCATGCATGTCACAGTGGAAAAAAGGCTGAGGATTCCTATAGTGGAGCAAAACAATCACTACAATTTTCCCAAAGACCCACCTAATTGGTTTTCCATAGCTATTTGTATACGACATACATTTTAAAAAATATATGGCCACCTTTTAGCTAGAGCAGTATTCAGCAACCTTTCCACATCACTGTACACACTGAAAATAATGATAGTTATATAGCACACAGGTGTCATGAGCTTAAATTCTTAAAGTGGACACCACCAGCCTGGGGGCTCTGGCTATCCTGGCCCTTGCCCGCACTCCCCAAGGTGGAGGAAATTAAATCTCAGCATACCACTCAGGAAGCCTTGGATCCAGTGAGAGGTTAACTCTGAGGTAATTTTTAACTAAATTACATTTTCAAATTCAAATTCAAAGTTATCATTATTACACCACCATTCATTTTTCTCCACATAATTCTTTCCTATCACTGAGCTATGCCCAAACATCTGAAGTACAAAGGAGAGAGAAGAAATTGGAGTGAGATGGTAAGGCCTGTGGGGCGACATTCTGAAAAGAATTACTCAAAGTGCATTACACAGAACGCAAGTTGTCCTGGATGTTACTTGGGGAAATTAATCCATAAAATTAACCATAGTCTCTTACTGTAGGGTTTACAGGGCTATAAAGATTAATTATATCTATTATTTGAATAGGTAGTTCATTCATACGGCTCCAATTTAAAAGGTTAAAAAAAAGGCGGGGTGGGGGGTTGGATATAAAGAAAGTTCTCCCTCTCGCCCCATTCCCCAGCCACCTAGTTTCCTGGTCTTCACTCCTGTCACCAGCTCCTCAGGGCACCGGTTGTAAGGGTGGCTGGCCACCAAGAAATTAGGAACCTAAGCATATGTTAGTTTCCTGTGGCTGCTATAAAACATTACCACAAACTTGGTGGCTTCAAACAACAGAAAATTATTTTCTCCAAGTTCCCAAGGCCAGAGTGCCAAGTCAGTACCACTGGGCCAAAATCAGAGGTTACGAGGCCCACACGCCCTTAGAAGGTTCTAGAAGAGCAGCCACTCCTTGCCTGTTCTAACTTCTGGTGGCTGCTGGCATTCCTTAGCTTATAGCCATATCATTCCAATCTCTGCCTCCGTCGTTCCACGGTCTCCTCTTGGTCTGTCACTGTGTCAAATCTCCCTCTGCTTCCTTCTTACGCAGAAATGTGACAGTAATGTGACAGCGTTTAGGGCCCACTGGGATAATCCAGGAGAATCCCTTCATCTCAAGACCCTTAATTTAATCACATCTGTCCAATCCCTTTTGCCATGTATGATAACACCCACTGGTTCCAGGGATTAGGGTCTGGTGTCTTTGCAGGGAAAGGGGGAGTATTTTTCAGCCTTCCCCACAGAGTAACCACACAAAGTCAGCAGATGAAGTCACGGCTTCCCCCACTATTTCTCTACTGTGTTACCTGCTGTTCTGCTCATGGACCCCAGGACCCTGGGGTTGGCAGCAGCTTCCCTGTCCCCACCAGACTATCAGTAAAAGCTGCTGCCCTCGTGGCTTCCATGAACCTGAAGGCTTAAAAAACTGGGAGGGTCATGAAACTTAGTAGGTCTAGAGAATAGGAAGCTGTTGTTTTTTCAATATACAGTTTAAACATTATCTATTAGCACATATCACTCCTCCCTGGTAATGCTCATCACGTGTTCCCTATGTTCCCCATATTTTCATCCCCTTTGCTGTCAGACAGGGTCAGATGAGCAGTTGTGACAGATGAACTGTGAGCAAAATGATTCTATCACTCTGGGCAGAAGCACAGGAGAGTGAGGGCTAATTCGCTTCCCTGCCATGGCAACCTGGAAAGTATGTGTCCTAAATGGCTACAAGATGGTCCCTGTTAGCCCAAGTCCCTGAGTGTCTGTGAAGAGGAGAACAGACATTCCCTACCCTGACTCTGACTGGACATGATAGATATGTGAGCAACAAATAAATCTGGGTTGTATGAAGCCACTGAGATTTCTAAGTGGGTTGCTATCCTAGGTAATAAGCCAGTAAATACAGTAAGCAGTAAGGCAACACTCAAAAGGGATTGCAGGAGCATACCACAGTAATAGTTTTCTTAGATTGGCTGTGGTTAAAATGTACCAGTTCTCCAGCGAAAGCACTGTGTCTCTTCTCTAGCCGGACATGAGCACGAGCGCTGGGCCTGATGCCAAAGGTCTGCTGCTGCTTCCTCTCTGAGGGAGGACCCTCACCTGTCAGGTGGCAGAGCTGCGCCACGGATCTCCTAAGGGCTCTCCCCGCAATAAAATCCTAAGGTTCTATTATATTAAGAGGAGTAAACATTTTAATTGTGCCAAAAATACCGGTACAGTTTCTTGTTTATTTCCACCAGCAGCCAAAGTTGTTCGGATTAAAAAGGAGAAAATCCAAAGGGTGCAGAATCATCCCTCAACAAGGGAATTTCAAAGAGGTAAGCTCCTCTGTAATGAGGCCCTCTGGGCTCTTTCTGCCCACTCCCCAAGTCAGATACAGTTTATCCAGAATTCCGTGCTAAAGGGATGAATCAGCGAGAAACCCCAGGCGTGCCTCTCACACGTAGGATTATGCCAAGGCACTCTCCAACAGCGAAAACCACTAAGCCGGCCAAAACTCCCCATGTTTCCAAATGGCGCTTTTGCCAAAGCCACCAACAACTGCTGGAAAGCTGGGCACTGTTTTAACCGAGCGCTACAGCCAACAACTGGGAACTCACGAAGACTGTTTCCATGAAAAACAAATAGGGAAAAAGAACTAAAGAAGATACTGAGGGACAACATATTTTTCTGAAGCCCATTCTGATTTCTCCTGAGGCCCAAATGCATAGAAGTTCATGAACGCATGGCTAATAAAAATATGTACCACTTATTGAGGCCTTTTATTTGGCCACTGTGCTAAGCACTTTACAGATGTCACCTCATTCAATCCTTTTCACATCTTTTCCAAGGTCACACAACTAAAAAATTATAGTAACATGTATAATGAAACTTGGATCTATTCGGTTTTGAAGCTGTAAGGAACATTAGAATATGTTAATGATTTTTATGACAATGTTCACTGTTAATGTTAAATGATATATAGATGTATTGATTGATAGACAGATTTATATCTATAGATAGATAGATGATAGACAGATAGCTAGATAGATAGATCAATTAATTGATCAATCTTTTGGTCTCCATGGTTTATGTTAGAGTAACATTTTTCAAACTGTCAGTTCTTAACCCACTAATGGATCAAAACTGACATTTTTTCAGAAACTAAATAGAAAATATCAGAGTGTATTGAAG